ATGGTCCACGTGGTCGTGTTCCAAAACGACCCGAGACCTTTTTTTGAAGCGGTCTCCCTCCAGTGGAATCCCCAGTACCTGCTTTTCTTTAGCGCGTCGAACGTGACCAAGAATAACTTACTACTGGAAGATACCTTCAAGGGCATCGAGAGGTTACTGCTTGTTGAGAAGACGTACCTAACAAGCTCTGCTAGTAGGCCCGTGTCAGGAATGTTCACCTCGTTTCCGTTTGAAGAGAGAAAGATCAAATCTATTGGCATCTGGAGCAACACGAAGTTTGCCTCAAAGGAAGACCTCTTCGTCGACCGCTTCGAGTCGTTCAGAGGTTACGAGTTCCAGCTCGGAACGTGGTTGGACGATTACCCGTACCTCTATCAGTCGAAGACGAAGCCGGAGGGTTACGGCGATGGCTTAGAGGTTGAGATGCTCGACGCCATGGCCAGAGTGCTCGACTACAAATACAACTTAACGAAGGAATCGCCAGACATGATGTGGGGGGCGTTCGAAAATGGCTCATGGAACGGGATGCTGGGGATGGTGCACCGCAAGGAGAAGAACTTCACCGTCAACTACTTCGTCATCACAGGCGAGAGAGTCGACGCCTTCGACGCCTCTGTGTCCTACTGGATGGAGGGATTCGGGATGTCGTTGATGTCCCCGCCGCCGCTTCCGAAGTGGAGGGGAGCTTACTATTCTTTCACGCCCTTCGTATGGCTCTCCCTCGCCGTCACCTTCGTCCTCGTCTTGATTATTATATCAATACAGGTACATACATACTGAATATAGCATGCAGTGAATGGCTTAATATAACAGAATGGATCAAAGCTTGCGAATGCATGACTATGCATAGTTTTATATATACACACATGCATATTAATAACTACTAGAACTCCCACACGTCATGGACACTCATTCCAGAGTTTTTGTAAGAGTCTACGACCACTTCATAATGGGATGGGATTAATACGACCGATTTTGCTTTGAAAGGCTGGTATAAACAGGCGTAAAATTAGATTACTAAAATCACAACATACGATCCATGACAACATAAAAATGTCACACCATAGGATTTTTCGGCCTCTTGTCATTTTCTGTTTCTTCCCGTAGGATATGCTACAGCCCGAGCCTTTCTTGGGTGGCGTGGGCTCCACGTGGCCGTACCTCCTGCGGGCGATGTTCAACAACAGCATCCCGCGCCTGCCGAAGGCCCACTGGCAGCGCCTGTTCGTGGGGTCGTGGTGGCTGTACTGCTTCATCCTGACCACCGCCTACACGGCCAACCTCATCGCCTTCCTCACCATCCCGGTCTTCCCCGGACGCATCCAGACCGTCCAGCAGCTCGCCGAGAGCGATTACAGGTTGACTCTTTTTCTGTCTCTCTGTCTGTATGTCTGTCTACTGGTTTCTCAATTTGTCCACTTCTTATGACATAATTATTTCTTCCTATCTCTGTATCTTTCTTTATTGCACCACTGGTGACATTGCATAAAAATGCATACTAACACGAACACGCTTAGTCGATAATCCATCTACTTTATACAATAAAGCGTGGGCTAAAATGTTAGTATTAGAAAATTAATAACGTTGCCATCGCTGTGTGTGTGAGAGCACTAAGTCATGGCGTCACTCATTTATGACATAATCACACGGCCATAATATATCCGCGATCCAATCAAAAATTCAATGTTGATATATATATATATATATATATATATATATATATATATATATATATATATATATATATATATATTTTGTGTGTGTGTGTATCTGGAATACCTTTTTCACAATGAAGATCCATGATTAAAGGAAATTTCATGACCAAAAGGAAGATTAATGAACTGTGTCTGTGTGGTGCCTATCTCTTCACTTCTCTTCCTATTATTCTGTACTCTTCTGTTCACTTTCTCTCACAAACACCTGTGCTGCACTTATCACGAAGAACTCTCCCTAAGGGTCTTCATGTTCGATTACGGGGAGTTCGTGCCAGGAGCCCTGAAGACGTCTAAGGACCCTCACTACAGGGCCCTCGGCGATAAGATGGACCTGTTTCAGAACTACAATGACTCCGTATTCCCCATGCTGGACGGGACGTACGCCTACATCGAGAGCTTCTCTTATAACCGCATTCTTGTTTATGTGGAATATAAGGTATGAACCGTCGGCATTAATTTTGAAGTAGATATAGGTGCTTCCTTTGATTTGTTCGTTTATTTTTTTCTCTGTTTCTTCCTCATCTCTTCCACCCCCCCCCCCTCGCCATCCCTGTTTCTGATCTACCCTATACTCTGACATTAAACTTTGCTTGTCCTTCAGGTGGAGAACTCATACATGCTGAGGGAGCAACTGTACCCCGGCCACCTGTGCTGGTACTTCCAAAAGAACACGGCCTGGAAGTACAAGTTCGACCATGGGATACGGCGTCTGGTGGAGTCCGGTCTGATCGCACACTGGATCAAGGTGAGTTCTCATTCGCTCTTTCATTCTGCACACTTTTACCCTTTTTTCCTCCATTCTCTCCTTCTGTCCATATGTATATCCCAAAAAGGAGGCTCCAAAGTATGAAAAAACAAATGCAAATACAGAAAAGACATCAAAGAACAAGGAAAAAATGAAACAAAATGATAAAAAAACTCCATAAATAGAGGATGGAAATAAATCAGTAAAAAATATCTAAGCCCAGGCCTACCCACGTTCGTCCCCAGGTCAAAACCGAAGACTTCCTGGGCCGTGACTTCGAGCGCAAGCAACAGCTTCGGGCAAAGGAGAGGGAAAACCAAGCCCTGAGCCTCGAGCACCTGCAGGGCGTGTTCTTCATCCTCGCCATGAGCTGGGCGGCGGGCGGCCTCGTGTTCGCCGGCGAGGTCCTGCGACACCGGTGTGATCTCGACTGATGGGCGGAAAATGTTTTCCTGTTTCTCATCTCTCTCGCTCTCTCACCCTCCCCCCCTCTCTCTTTCTTTCTCACTCTCTCGTACACTATCACTATATATATGTATATATATATTGTGTGTATCTGTGTACAAATATCTATATATATCGATTATCTATCTATCTATCTATCTATCTATCTATCTATCTATCACACACACACACACACACACACACACACACACACACACACACACACACACACACACACACACACACACACACACACACACACACACACACTATATATATATATATATATATATATATATATATATATATATATATATATATATATATATATATATATATATACATACATATACTGTACTCTTGAGCTGAACACCCCCAGTGATTTATGTAAACTAAATTTATTGTTGATTTATTTAACGTAGACGGCAATTCTTTCACATACAAGTTAAAAGTTTTCTTGTCAATCTTTACCTGCTTCGAAGGGTTTTGACGTTCTTGAGTCTTACAAACCAATGCTATGTGTTTTAGTTTCCCCAGTTTAGGAATCTTACGATGTATCTTTCTGTAGCATGGAGTAACATTTAGAAAAGTTATTGATTCAGAATTACATGTTATTAACAATTACGTTTTCTTTGACGCAGTATCAATGACAGAAAATGTAGTTTTAGCATTTTAGGAGTAACTTAATAAATCTAAATATTCATACGATATGTTTATTGTTGTCATGGCTATCGTTATTTTGTCATCGTATTTTCAACATTAATAATAATGATGACAACAGCAGCAAAATAACACAAAACAAAAATTAAGGGTATGATATTTATCAATATTGTTTTCATCATCATCATCATTATTATTAACATTTTCATTATTCAAATTACCATTATTACTACAATTTTTATCTTATCATCATTACCATTATCATTATTGTTATCATTATCATTACCACTACCGTCATCATCATTATTATCATATTCATTTTCATTATTGCCATATTTTTGATATGACAATAGTAGCAATGTTGAAAAAAAGAGAAAATAATTAAAGATATGATAACGAAATTAGAATCCGAATAGAAACACAAGTAAAAATAAGAATGACTATCGTTATTTTGTCATCGTATTTTCAACATTAATAATAATGATGACAACAGCAGCAAAATAACACACAAAAAAATTAAGTGATAACGAAATTAGAATCCGAATAGAAACACAAGTAAAAATAAGAATGAAATATGTTGATGCGTTAGAAATAAGAATGAGAAGTTATGGCAGTAGAAATGACATAAGTAATAGCATATGTACGAAAACAATAGAAAAATGACTAAAAGAATAAGAATCGAGACTCAGAATGGGAATAAACCTTAACTAACCTTCGGCGAGATTCATGGATGTTTTTTACGTTTTGTTAGTCGAAAAAAACAAATGATAAGAGTAGGATAACGCTATAACACTGCTCAGACACAAGGTAACACACGAGGCAACGCGAACACAAGGTAGTATGAGTCCTGCTTCGAACATGACTAAGTAGTTCGACTTTCCGTCAGAGTGCGAGACCCGACCCAATTAAACATATGGCGACATGCATTTATACAGAAATAAAGGCATATGTGTCTTTATCTATCTATCCAGTAGATAGGCATGTCTAGACTAACAGATATGCATTTCTTTCTTTATCAATGCTTGACCGTATGTGTGATTAGAGAGAGAGCGAGCGAGCGAGAGAGAGAGAGGGAGAATGTATCTAAATAACATTATTATCAACAGCTACAGGGTTGGCCCAGGGTAACCTCTGGTGATCATGACACACGGGTGAACTCGTTCATGCTAAAGGTCATAAATATAATTACAGTCATTAAATAACCCGAAATTACGTACTTTATTTCTTGAACTAAGTTTAACTACAAAATAATTTACGTAAATAACTGAATGACACAAAATAAGACTACTTTAAAAGTGGAACAAGGCCTAAAGCTTGCTAGTCTTCCGTGATTTCGGTCGGAAGAGCCACTCGCTACTTCAGTAACAGAATTGTGACGAGGGGAATGGTGATAATGATATCAATTATAATAATGATACCGATAATGATAACGATAGCACTACAATGATTATTGTAATAATAATGATAACAATGATGATGATGATGATAATGATAATAACTAATAATAATAATGATAATGACAATCATAATGTTGAAAATAACAATTTTGATAATAATAATGATAATAATAAATAATAATGATAATAATAATAATAACCATGATATAATTGTAATAATGATAATACAAACAACAACGATGATAATGATAATATAAACAATAACAATGATAATGGTAATCATCATAATGATAATGATAATAAGAACTTAGTAAGGATGATAACGATGATAATGATCATAATTATGATAATAATAATAATCTCTCTCTCTCTCTCTCTCTCTCTCTCTCTCTCTCTCTCTCTCTCTCTCTCTCTCTCTATATATATATATATATATATATATATATATATATATATTATATATATTATATATATTGTTTTGTGATTTTTCTAGGAGATGGACAATGGAGACATGTATTGCATGCACAGTACTTTATTTATGATCCAACCTGCAAATACAAATAAAAATATCAAAGTAATTCAAAACACTAATACAGTAAATTAATCCCAAAAAGCAGTTAACTCAATGGTTCAAATGTAATAAACAGATACTTCAAATCAAAGCATTTCCATTTGACTATTTGAATATTCCTTTTGCTTAAGAAACAAAACAAACATTTCCTCCACTAGAATAATGTCCACAATACAATATGCATTCATCTATAAATGAGAACCAAAGTTACACAATCAACATATCACAGTAATCAAAATTTAGAATAATCTTATAACAAAAATAATAAATAAAAGAGAAACAGCACACATTATTTACTTACAACAAAGAGACCTCCCATCTCTTCGGCTAGAATTCAACAAACCATATCTTGACACGCAGGGCAAACATGTTCAGTCAATAGAAAGCAGCACAATAACAGAAAGATGCTGTTTTGATCAGTATCAGGTAGTGTCAACAGCTTCAAGAGGAAATCAGGCCAACACAAGTCCATTCCTTGTTACTCCTCAGTCATGAGGCGCGGGCAAGCGTCTTCTCCGAAAACGTGGAAAAAAAGCGACAAGCGCAGCGTATAAAAATTACCAAAAACATATCCTACAAAGAGTAAAGCATGAAATAAAATAATCAAATTTAATCACAAACACACACACACACACACACACACACACACACACACACACACACACACACACACACACACACACACACACACACATATATATATATATATATATATATATATATATATATATATATATATATATATAACATTATGGATACATAATATGACATCTAAATATAGAGGAAATCAATACAGAATGATAATATACAGTCTGCAGAATAATATGAACATACAACAGAAATATCTTGAATGAAATTCACGATACACACACACACACACACACACACACACACACACACAACACACATATATATATATATATATATATATATATATATATATATATATATATATATATATATTATATATATTTATATATGTATATATATTTTTTTTTAATTCAAGGTTAATACATATTCATTTTCATTAATATGGTTATTGTCTACATTGATATAACCCTCATTATAGCGTAATAATAGTTATTGCATTCATTTCAGCTATTTATCGAGGCATGTAAGAATATATTAAGGGAATAGTTTTAGTTTCATTATGCCATTAGTAAGAAGAGAAATTTTACCTTTAGTGGACATAAATAAACGAAAATAAGAAACCTTCTATGGGTTTACCCTCGCAACTTGATAATAACAAAGTTATGACGTACGTGATAGATAAAATAAGAATATTTCAACATTCTAAGTAGATGTAAACAAATAAGTGCGTAAAACGATCGTCTTTTCTTAAACGATAGCCACCAGGGGGCAAATGTGTCACGCGGGAGTTTTAAACCGCCGTAAAATGATGGCCAACAGGGAATAAGTGTACCGCAGGCGATTGAAGTTATAAGGTAATGGCACATGCGCGGGACCATTTTTTAAAATACGCAACATCGCAACAATTGACTTACTTTTAAAGAATCACATGCTACCACATGCGTAACTGTAAGTTTCACCTCTGTGTTTATAAGTAAAGTTTGGCCTTTCATTGTTAAGTGTGTAAGTAATCTTCCGGCAATTAACACAAATGTTCACTATGTTTGGTGACGCAGTTTAATGCTCGTTTCAACATACTTGAGTATCGACCAATAGCCGTAACATAGTCTAGTCTTAATATAGAAAATGGAAGCCGAATACTTAAATGTTCGTGATACCTATCAGGTACATTGATAAATAAACATTGAACTGAATATTTGAGGATATTTGATGGAGGGAGAAGGAGAGGGGGAGAGAGAGATAGAATTAGGCATTACATGAATGTCGCACGCTGATACCTCTGTCTTGACAAGTCAGAGAGGTTGACATATTGGAACGTCGTCGATGATTACATGTAATACATCATCCATTATTGTGTAACAGCTACAAGTAGCAAGGCCTTACTTACTTGACAATGCATTGCATATATTACTTGGCGGGTAAGTGTATATCGAAAAACCAGTGCAAAATGGAGAACAAGTGCGAGGGTTGTGATTGGAACTATTTGGATTTTATAAAGGAATATCACAAAGAAGATGAAAAATCATTGTTTCTTGAGAAACCACGGTGTATTACCCACCGATGTCGTATGCCCAACCTGTAATTTACCGTGCAGATATAGAAAAGAACAACGTGTGGTACTGCGGGCGGTGGAAAAAAATCGCCAAAACTAAGCAGCGCAGGAGCTGCGCTTACTCGGTCAGCTATTACACCGGCATCTTCCTTCAAGGCACGCACCTCTCACCATCCAAAATATTAATTTTTGTAAACCACTGCCTACAAAATAATTGAAACCACGTGTCTGAATTTACGGAGAATTGGCTTCAGATTCAAAAGCCAATAGGAGGTGCCGGCGTAATCGTCGAGATAGACGAGACTACTTTTTCGCAGGAAATATAACCGAGGTAGACTTTTGAAGCAAGTGCGGGTGTTTGGCGGAATTGAAAAAGAATCAAAAAAGGAATTCATTGTTCCACTTAAAGATAAAGAAGATCGAAGTGCCGAAACGCTCATCCCTTTCATTAAAAGATATATTCTACAAGGGACGGCTGGGCAGCTTATCGCTCATTGAAAGACCACGGGGATGACCACAAAGTCGTAAATCATTCAGAAAATTTTGACCCAAAAGACAAGTCTGTGCATACGCAGACTATAGAGCGACTGTGGAGGGACTTGAAAGAGTGGGCTAAGAGTCCTGGCATGCGGTCCGAATATCTCTCGCAGTATTTTTCTCGATATTCATTCATTAGAGAATACAAAGAAAGTGCCCTCCACAACTTTTTTTTTTTTTTTTTTTTTTTTTTTTTTTTTTTTTTTTTTTTTTTTAGAAGCTGCCCGGTTGTATCCGCCACAAAGTGGGAAGAAGAGGGAGTTAACCCCAGACCCTTAATGAGGCGGACCCCTCTGACGCAAGCGACTCCGAGTAAGGCAGGAATTAGCGAAACGTATAATGTATTTGCGGTATTTAATATTTTTATCAAATATTTACGCATTTATTAGATTATGGGCGACTTAATTATTGAATAGATAACGAAATAATCTTACTATAACCGTGAATTTAACACGAAGCGTTGCTAACATTTTTTGCGATATGCATTGTTGTTAATCGCCCACATTATTTCATCGTACAATTTATGAAATCTAAGCTCATTTTCTTAAACATTTTTTAGCAGCTTGTTCCGAAATACGAAAACCATTTATTTCCTGAACCGGCCACATGAGATGGAAAACGGCAACTGATTCACACATACCACAGCGTTAATCATCGGATTCAAAGAAAATATTTGCGAGGTGGGAGGGCTGTGTGCAACTGAAAAAAATACCATATTAAGTACTAGAATATCAAACAAGGAACTACTTATCGGTTTCATAACCAAATAATTAATTTAGCGTTCATAAGATGATTGAAAATACGAATGTATTAAATAGTTTATCCCTCCCTTATCGGATTCAAAGAAAACAAACTTTACTGCCTTTATATATAGAAAACGTTAAATATACAAGGTAAACTTCCCTATAATCAATTAAAGATAATTAGGTGTGACATCACGCTGCTAAATAAACGACTAATAAAGAGAAAGAAAGTGATTGTAATGTATGAAAAGGACAATAATCATAACAGAAAAAAACGATTGACGATGAAAGTAAAAAGGTCTGTAATAAGGATCACGCACTGCGCTGCACCATAATCATTAGCATGCATTGTGACTCGCAGTGCCTCCGGGGAAAGAATAACAAACCTTCACCACACATGCAATGGCGATAGAATTTGAAGGCGACCCTGGCCACTTGCCGTTAAATAAGGAAGCAGGTCGGTCTATATTTTGCCGAATATTTGTTGGCCTTTGTCGAGCGCTGCAGCCGCGGGATGTTAGCCTCAGCAGGGTATTGGGCATACATTGCGTCTCTTGTGGATGCGCTCTTACTTTTTCCATTAAGAGAAGTTTAAGGATCTAATAAATCAAAAAAATACACATATATTTGCGATTTTGCAGTACAAACCCTGGGGGAGGCTTACGGTGACTCATAAAACAACCAAAAGTTATTTTGCTTTCGACAACTTGCATTTGGATTTTTTTACCCTCCCCGGACGCCACTGTGCATGACTGACCACGGCGCCGAGAGCGTAAGGGAGAATAGAGGAAGGCGCTGAAATGAACCAGCCCAAATAAGTTGAAACTTTTATTAGCAATTTCTGAAAACACTTTATAACATTTTAGTGTAATTTTCTTATAAAATATGTTACATATATGTATAAAAAATATACATATATAGATATTTCACACGTATAATATATATATTTTAATAAAATATTTCCATGCTAAAACAGTCACACTAATCTTCAACAGATATTGGAAAACGTAACACGTTCTTAAAAATCTTATGCGTTATTCATTGGCTAGGCACACGGGTAGTTAAGCAAATATCACACATATCGAAAAAAGTTTACATACATACATACATATATATAACCATCATATATATATATATATATTATATATATATATATATATATATATATATATATATAATATATATATATTATATTATATATATATATATATAATATATACATATATATATATATTATATATATATATATATATATATATATATATATATATATATATATATATATATATATATATATCACATACACACACACACAAGCATATATACTTATGTTAGCTTTACACGTTAATATAAAAGGTCACACACGCAAATATGCAAAAGCTCATTATAGCAAACAGCCATTTTTTTTTAAAGAGTCATAGATACTCCAAGTATATGCAACTGACCAATGGAACGAAAGGTCACTGGTGGAGCTCAAATGACAAGAATCACTTTAGTCGAATGACATCAACCTGACAGTGAAACCTGACGACGAAGGCACTATTGTTATCAGTTGTTTATTGCTCTTGTCGGCCAGAGAAGGAGGGAGGCGTCGCCATTCGCTTATCTTTAGTTTTGGAATTTCTTACAAAGGAATCCAATAGTCGAACGGAGATTGGGCTGTGAATTGATCTCGATTGAATTTGCTTTGTTTCTGTTCTGATTTTGTTTGTAATTGGTGATCTACAAGGCTTACAGTGCCCCCTACATGATGATATTGATTGTTCATGTGAGTAATATTTTCGAAATAACCATGTTAGAATGGAATGAAAATAATGATGGTTTGTGGCTGGATGAAACAGGGGCAATAATATATTTTCACAATTATTTTTTTTACGTCGAACTTTACAGTAAAACAATCTAAAAATAGATCAAATAAAACAAAACAAAAGAAAATTTTGAAAACAGAGAGAGAAACCATGGTAGAATTATCAATGATTAGACCGTTTTATCTAAAATACATCTACCACGTCAACAAAACAAGGTAGAAGGGAAAGAAAAGGGCGAAAGAACGAAAGACATAAAAAAGAACAAGGAGACGACGACGGAGAAGAAGAAACAAGAACACGAAACACTCTCGGTGAAGAGCAATTCCGGGATTCACTCAGCGCTTCGTGTCGCCGCCGGCTGCTTGGGTTCCACGCTGCTTGTCGCATACCGTCCGTTGGAAGGGCCTGGCTCGTCCGTGGGCACCCGGCTCCATCGCCAGCCTTGGAACTTCGAAGAGAGGACACAAATCAGGAACCTTGTAAGCGTTGGACAAGAGAAGAAGAGGAAGAAGAAAACTCAAATGAAGAGCCTTGTAACCTCAAATAGAGCAGCGGTCCCCAACCTTTTTTACGCCAAACATATGGAAGAGAAAAGTCTCAGATTAATATTTGAATAAACCCTACAAAAAATAAGCACTCTTGCTTGAAATATCTATAAAATCAAAGAACTAACTTTAAAACGTTTATAAATGACCAGTTCAATGACCATTTTGTTCCTGTTTCTCGGTTATGAGATTTTCAAAATGTGGAGCTATGTTGTTGATGGCGATCCACCTATCTGCTCCTGACCTTTGGCGTTAAGATAGAACCTATCAGTGTTTTCCGATTCCATTCTCTTTATCCTATTAATTTCTTCTTATTTCTCTTTTTTCAAAATAAGATTTTATCTAATTTGTCACTAACTAGTTGCACTCAGCCATTCCCATATCATTGTCTGACATTTAACTCTCTCCCTGCGATTGAAGAAAAGTAAAAAATCAAAGCAAACACTTACAAAACAGGAGCACATAACAAGAAATAAATAAATGATAATGACGAAGAAAACAAAGATAGAATAATAGTTATAACGGTAAAATAGGGATACCAATAACAAGTAAACAAATGTTCTTTTTGTTACCATTATCATTGTAGTTTTTATTACTTTTGTTATCATCGTAATTGTTGTTGATATTATTATCCTTATCATTACCATTATCATCATAATTATTATTATTCTGATTGTTATTATTATCATTATTAATATTGTTATTATCATTATCCTTATCATTATTATCATTATTACCATTTTTCATTTTCATTATTATGATTACAATGACGATGATGATAATGATAATTATAAAGATAATAATATTATCATTATAATAATCAGGTTTATCATCATTATTACTATCACCATTAACAATATTGCGATAGCATATCGTTATTATCACTGGTATGGCTAACATCATTACCACAATGATAATTTTAATCAGCAACAACACCGCTATCATAACCATTGTATGCAAGCCATTAATGGACTACAATCTACCTTCAAGTCCTTCCTGAAGACGACGGAAGCCAGAAAGACGAAGACTCCCTGCAGGGAGTTCACGGAATCGAGCACAATCATCCTGGGAAAGACGCGTTAATTAATGCATCTGTGCGTTTAGGTGTTCGTTTCGGTTGGTTGGCGAGGGAAAGGGAGGGAAAGGGAGATGGAGAAGAAGGGAGGGAGTGAAGAAGGAAAAGTAAAATCTA